GGAAAACTTTTGCGATGTACTTCTGTCTCTAGAATGAAAAAGCCCTGCCATTCTGTGCAACACAGAACTTCTTCACTGGGCAAAAACTGTTTGAAGACACTTTAGCAAAAGTTCTGCCACTTTTTCTTATGGTTTGTTGCTGGAGCACTGGGTTTGCTACGTTAGAATCCATCCTGAACTTGCTTTTATATAAGCAGATGGTTTTTGGGTTAGTGCCCTGCTGGTGTGTGCCCTCAGTCATTTTAATCCAGAATGTGCTGGCTTTGTTTTGTCCACCCCAAAAAAATTAGTTAATTGTTTAGCCTTTAGTTGGAATGTTGCATTTCCAGTCTCCCAGGGAAATGTAGCTATAAATATAATAACTGGCATAATTATTGCAGTGAACTATTACATAGCAGTATATGTGGGGCACGCACCCTGCAATCTCAAAGCCAACTTTTATATTGGGGTTTTCAATAACACAGTCTATATCAACATATAAGTGCTAACCTACAGGTGCATAAAAACATAAACCCGTTGTATTTCCAAAATATTTTCCATGGTCCAAGTAGGTTTTTTTTTTTTATTGAGAACTAGTTATTTGACAGATTTTTAAACAATATTTTAACTAAAGCAGTATGAGACATTCCTGTAGTCATCCTGATCTGTTAGGAAAATTTTATACTTCTGTTTTGTGTCCTTACTGCAGTCTGGCCACATTTCTTTATTTTGCAATATGGAATGTGCTCTGCCTCACTTGCCATACTTGTGGTTTTAGAAATCAGTTAGCTAATAGAAACAGTCTTGATTTTTCTTTCTTTTTTGGGGTTTTTTGTTTTGTCTTAGTTTTCTGTTTTGGTAGTTTTTTGTGTTTGTTTTTTTTTTTTCCAGAAGCTTCCTGTGTGATCTTAGGAAGGTCACTTGAGATCATATTCAGAGAGATACTAAAGTGTTAAATTCCCATGAGTGGGAGCCTCTGTGGATCTCTATTTTAGCCTCTTGTGATGTCATTTCTCAGTATTTAAATGGGAATAGCAATGATGTTATACCTCAGAGATGCCATTAAGGTAAATATGTTTATGACTGGAAGTGACTTGTGTCAGATGCTGGAGTTGTATGAGCAGACTGGCCTGGACTGGCTTGTGCCATACTGTGCTCCACGGTAACAGTGGCCGAGTGAAATGCCTTAAAAACAGGGATCAGGAGTTGGGTTTGGAAATGCTGAGACTTCAAATGGTAAGATTGGAAGCAGGGATGTTGCTCTTGGGGTAGCCAGGTGCCACAGCCACCGTTCCTTTTCAGTCACTGTAGCACAAGTGGAGGCACGATGTTGGAACGATTTCTTAGATGATTATGCTTTTTTAAAAGGATTTTTTTTTAAAGCTGTAGATATAATTCATCGATTCTGTTTACAAGTCCACGGGTGCTTTCAAGACTGGTTCTGAACAGAGTTTGTCCCTCAGGACTGGTACTGAAGGGTTTGCTGTCGGTGTGGTTCTTGGCACGCTGCTTACTAGAGCTATTAACAGTGTTGTAGATGTGCAGAGGGGGTGTATATCTGAGGCTCTGTGCCCTAGCAGAGCTAAAACAAGAATAGGCAATGTGCTAATATTGTCAGGAATAGTCTTGCTTTGGCAAGGAAAAAGATTAGACAACCTGATAAGTCTTCCTTTAAAAAAAAAAAAAAAAAGGCTATTCTTTGAGTCAGTGTTACAGTACAAGAAATCCTACTTTAAAAAAAAAAAAGCCAACAGTGATTTTTTTTAAAAAAAATACAGTAAAGATAAAAGTGATCCCAAAGAAATCCTTTCTCTAGCCCACACATGGAAAGAAATGGGAAAATATAAAGGGATTTCTGCTGGTCTATTTCCTTCAATTCTTTGTCATGGATAGGAGTGGGGTGTATTACTTTCTAAATAACTCAGAGTCCAGAGGCAATCCCTGCATCAGGCTTTTAGAACAGCAGAGTCTATTAGAGCAGCAACATATGTATATATACATACACGTAGTCATTAAGCAGTAACTTGGGACCAAGCTAGATCCTTATTTTACGATGTCCTCCTCTTATGTGCATTGTGTGTAAAGCTAAAACACGCGTGAGGCCTAGGGAGAGATCCCAGCGCTACGGAGAAAGGCAGGAGCAGGGAATGTGCCATCGGGAGTTGTTGGGGTTGGTCTGGCCTTCAGAGGTTAGAATGAGTAAGTGAAATTTGTTGGAAACTGCAAAAGATTAAGTATAAATCAAACTTTACCTCCAAAGCTAGAATCCTAGGGACTCTAGATGGACTCTCTTGAAACTGGTCTATTTAAGCTGAGGGGAACCCTGCCTGTTATGTTGAAACAGTGTATTTTCTAGACACTTAAAATCTGTCTTGTTGCGCTGAAGTAGTCATCTTTGCTGAATAAGATGTTAGCAATTTTCCTCTTACAGAACATCTGCTTTCTGACTGAATCACTGAACAAGCGGCAGGCTTGTTTGAGCCTGCTGTCCTCCGTGCGCTGCTCACCAGCTCCTGCCTTGCCGAAGGGTGTGGGCTGGGTTTCATCACGGAGGTGTCAGGCTTAGGTTCCCTGGTGTCTGCGAGAGCGTCCTCCTTATTGAAAGGACAGTGGCGTAAAAATAAAATTTACATTGGCACTTTTGAATGAAATCTTGACACCTTGGTTTTGAGGATCTAGAATTGAGAGAGCGGAACAGCTTAGAGTTACAGGGAAGAAAAAGGCAGCGAGGTTGTGGTGATACTTTTATCTTCCACAAGTTTTGAAATGACTCATAAATGGGATTCATCTTGGATAACCTTTAAACATAGAGAGCAGAGAATGAATTTGGTAAATAATCTGAAAAACCCCCATATAAAAGTAGTTTATCAGCAAAATTACCATGGGGTTTGTTTTCACTGAGAAAGCAGATTTGTTTAATCACCTGCCAAAGTTTTATGCAAATACTACAACCCGAAGCACAAGTATTTCTTATTGGTAGATGTTTGCCTTGGAAGCTTGGTGTTTCATTAATTGCTGGTGCTGAGCTGATTGATCAGAATTGGTCGGTGACGTTAAGTGATTGTCTGATGTTGAAATGTGTCCTTTTCGCTTGTAAGATAATTTAAGATCAAATGCAGACTTCTTGTAAGGCAAACCTAGGGATGCCTGTTTCAGACGGAGGTAAGTACCAAAGAGCAGGGGTATTTCTCAGGAGGGCATGGATACATCTGCTTTGTTTTGCTTGTGTGCTGTCTGTGAACCGTGCTTTCTCTTGGGGAGCACCGAGCCAGTCCTGCAAGAGTTAAGGAGTAAATGCAAACAGAAGAGCTAGGTCTGTACATCCAGCCTAAGTGCTTTCCTTAGGGGGAAGATGCTTTCTGGCACCTCAGCAGCAGGAGGAGAAGCAAACAACTCTTGCCCTGTACCCACCTGGAACCGTGACAGTAACGTTTTAATCTTTTGAAGTAAGATTCTATGGCTGGGTAAAAATTTGCCTGTAAAATGGCTTGATTCTGTTGGTGATACGTTATCCCTTTAATTAAATAGCTGACTTATGCTTGACAATTAATTGGAGTGATGTATGATTATTTTTTTTTTTAGAAACCCATGACTAATTTTTTCTTGCCATTCTTGCTATCTTATTGTTCTTGCCTACCCTCCTCCAAAGTTGCTGCTGCGTGCCAGCCATGTCCTCCAGGCACTGGTGCAGACCAGTGTTCACTCTTGCTTAGGCTTTTACCTGTTCCAGATAAAGCAATTGTTTTCGGATATTTTCCATGTCTTCTTTCATAAATTTTCCATTTCATCACAGTTCTGCAATTTTTTTGTTTTAACAGACTCTGGGATTTTTTTACATAAACTTAAAAAACCCCAAACAACAAGCAAAACCAAACCCCAAACTCGCCCCCAAACCCCACCACCACCACAAAACCAACCACCCCTCCACTGTGTAATAGTGTTAGCTTCATCTAGCACCGCATTTCCTACTTCATTAAAATAACTGCCAGGTTAAAAAAAATCCTTCCTGCAGTAGTCTCTGTGCCTATAGAGTAATCTGCTAGCAAAATCAGGTGAATTTTATATTTAATTACAATAGGCGAGATCCAAAATGGATGTGACTGGAGACATCTCTGTTCAAACCAGTAGAGCAGCAGCTACGAAGAACTCGGTTTGCCCCATATCTTATTCTCCCTGACCATAAGAAGCTGAAGCTCAAGCCTTTGCGTTATGTTACAACAACTGTGATGTGGACAATTCTTTACATTTTTTCCACTTAGAGAGCTTTAGTCTTTTTAGAGGAAATTTGTTTCCATGGGTGAACTTAGGCATGGATGAGTGGGGAACAATGCATTGTTTGTCAAAATGAACTTTTTTGAAGGGAGTGGGCTTAAAAGGAAGGAAATGTGGTTTAGATTTAAGTTTCTTTTGAAATTTCTTCCTCTTCTTTTTCCTCATCCCCCACCCCCCAAACACAAAACAAAAATGCAGACAACTAGAAGTCCCCAAACAGATGTTTCACCATATGTATCTTTAAAACATTCAGTATAATCTGGAAAGACAGAGAGAAAAATTGTCAGTTTAAAACCCGCTATCTTGGTTAC